CGGGACACCAAGCCATAGGGCTCAAATGGGTCTTCAAACTGAAGCGCAACGAAAAAGGAGAGGTTGTGAAACACAAGGCCCGTCAGGTAGCGAAGGGCTACGTCCAGAAGCAAGGAGTGGACTTCGAAGAGGTATTTGCGCCAGTGGCAAGGTTAGAATCCGTTCGTTTCTTACTTGCAATTGCAGCACATTACTCTTGGGAGGTTCACCATATGGACGTAAAGTCTGCTTTCCTTAACGGAGAGCTGAAGGAGACTGTTTATGTCCGACAACCACCTGGCTTCCTGGATAACAACAACCCCAATAAAGTATTGCGCCTGCACAAGGCACTCTACGGGCTTCGACAAGCTCCACGAGCCTGGAACGCGAAGCTCGACAGTACCTTACTGTCACTGAAATTCAAACGTTGCGCCTCTGAGCATGGCATGTACACGCACGGCCATGACACGAAGCGACTAATCGTGGGAGTGTACGTCGACGACCTCATAATCACTGGAGGTGACATGGAAGTCCTCGGAAGGTTCAAGAAGGAGATGTCGAAAAACTTCGAGATGAGCGATCTCGGCGTGCTCAGTTACTATCTCGGCATCGAAGTGCAACAGAATTCTACCGGCATCTCCATCTGCCAAAGTGCATACGCAAAGAAGCTGCTGGACACAACTGGACTTGTGGACAGTAATCCTACAAGGACGCCAATGGAGGCTCGACTCCAACTCAGGAAGGCTGGCACTACGACGACAGTCGACTCCACCAATTACCGCAGCATTGTCGGGAGTCTACGCTATCTGGTAAACTCTCGTCCTGATCTTGCTTATTCTGTTGGATATGTGAGCCGGTTTATGGAAGCACCTAGGGAGGAGCATTTAGCGGCTGTCAAGCGCATCCTGCGCTATGTAGCCGGAACCAGAGGCTGGGGTGTAAGATACTGCGCAGGGAGCGGAAAGGAGAAACTCAAGCTAGTTGGCTACAGTGATAGTGACATGGCCGGTGACGTTGTTGATCGTAAGAGCACTAGCAGAATGATCTACTTTCTCTCAGGCGGCGCAATCTGCTGGCAATCAACAAAACAGAAGGTAGTTGCTTTGTCTTCCTGTGAAGCAGAATACATCGCCGCTTCGATGGCAGCAACACAAGGGATCTGGCTTGCGCGACTAATGGAAGAACTCATCGGGAGAGAAAGTGATCCACCAATGCTATACGTAGACAACAAAGCTACGATCTCCCTGATCAAAAATCCAGTTTTGCATGAACGAAGCAAGCACATAGAAATCAGATTCCACTACATTCGAGAATGTGCAGATCGAGGGCTCATCAAAATTGATTACATCCGAACAGAGGAACAACTTGGAGACATCTTCACCAAGTCCCTGGCGCGGGTGAAATTTGAAGAACTACGCTCAAAGATCGGAGTTCAAATAGTAAGGTAGATATACTACAGGTTTTAGGAGGAGATTGTTAGATAAAACCTGAGTTTTACCGTTTTTCTTATTCACACGATTTCAGAAAATCGTGAGTTTGACCATTTGACAAATCACGTCGAATGGATCACCAGAGTTTTAGAAGGGAGTGGCACAGATTTAGTTGGCCACTCTCCAGCCAATTTTAGAATTCTTTTTTACTTTAAATAGGAGATTTGTTCTGAACAAATAAAACAACCTGAACGCAGTCAAATTCAGAGTTATTTTTTCTCTCTCCTTTTTGTTACGCATTTTCTCAATTTCCTCTCACCGAAATTCTGTGAAAACCAACATTGTCCAAGTCAGTAACTTGAAACGTTACTCTCTTGACCAAGAAGACGTCAAATACAGAGAGGTGACACGAACTCACTCAAAGAAGAAAATTTCAAAACGGAGAAAGTAGGAGAGACTCCGATAGAGAAGATGCCAAGAGTCAACGAACTGAGAAGTGAGTTTCAACAGTTCCTTGCAGATTGGAAGAGACTCCTTAATGTTGAGATCAGTTGGAAGCGCATTGAGAGACTTGAAGTCAGCCTTAACCTACATCACTGAGTTTGCTAAGAGTCGGCTGACAGAGACGTCAACCAGTTGAGTGGGGGAGGATGTCACAGTCATGCTTGTCTAAGGCGTGTTGTCTATGGTCTTATGTCGAATGTTCCAGTCATGCTTGTTCAGGATGTGTCGTCGATGGCCGCATGCCTATTCCAAACCCTTTTGCATGCTTTCATCTTAAATAAGCCTTTACTATTTCATGTGTGTCAATTTGGGGGTGTATATTCCCTAAAATCATGTCTACACCGGTAAGGACTAGTAGCCAGTTCTTCCTACTTGAGTTATATGCTATTAAAGTCGTGATATTTTTTCTTTGCTTATAGCCATATAACGTTGTTTTCTTCAAATTTTTCAATTTTTTTTCAAATGAATTTCCTCGTTCACGTTTTCTAAAATATTTCTCGCAAATGTGATTCGAGGTTCGAGCATGCGACGATGTTATCTAAGAAGTCTGAATTTCTCACGGTTGACTTGTTCACTAGGTTAGAACAAATGCTATACAATCGCTGCCCTGCTACCGCAAGTGTGCGATTGTGACACGAGACACCACATGAATCTAACATTGTGAATCAATGATGAAAACCTTTGGTAGGGAGGATGATCCAAAACCTCCACGAGATCTGCATGAATCTCACGGTGTTAAATAATAATAAAGATTGTGTCCTTATTTTGAAATTAGATTTTTTTATTTAAACAACTTTGTCTAATCTCATTTATTTAATTTTATCAATCTACCCTTCCATAACTCTTACGTTCGACTAAATTGATTTTTAACTTGAATTGCCTAGTTTATTAAATTATTTAAAATTGAGCCTACTTAATGTATTTGAATAAAATTTAAATAATTTAACTCTCCAGTCAATTCCTAGATAATTCCTAGATAGCTCTTGCCTTAAATACCTCAATTTAGACCAAACCACCCATAGACAGAATTTCTTTATAGTTAATTTTTATTTAAATTTCATTCATTTTAATTAACTATTAGTTACTAGGACCAAATATATATATATATATATATATATATATATATATATATATATATATATATATATATATATATATATATATATATATATATATATATATATATATATATNTGAGAGACAAAATTGAAGGCTTACGTGGAAGCAGCGAAATTAGAATGATTTTAGTGGTTTATTAAATAAACTATTATAAAATTTCAACGGTTGTCGTTCATTGAGATTTAATGTCTAAGAATTTTATTAATTGAATTCAATGATATTGGATAGTATCGTTTATCATGTTCTGGGGAACTCAATAGGGGTTGGGTTGATTTGGAGGAGATTTTATTCCACTAATTTTTATTTAATTCATTAAATCATTAATTCAATAATGACACATTTTCTTCATTTTAATATTTGATTTCTTAATTTCATAATTGAGTTCTAATCTTCTATTTCAATATTTTCATAGAACCAAAAATCATAAAAATTGATTTCAATAACATTTTTTATTCGAAAAATTGTGGGTCGTTTGCGGAGTTATATTTTTTTTGGTCTGATCGAACCGACGAACTAGAAAATAGAGTTACAATTCAATCCAACTAGTAGACGTCATATTTGGAAGCATTTTGGATAGAGAAATCCGGTTGATATGTTACATGAATCTACCCCTGAAATGAATTTGGGAGAGAAAGGTTGAAGTA